GTGTGCGTGTGTGTGAGAGTGAGAGTGTGTGCGTGTGTGTGTGAGTGTGTGTGAGAGAGTGAGAGTGAGAGTGAGTGTGTGTGTGTGTGTGTGTGTATGTGTGTGTGTGAGAGAGTATGTGTGTGTGTGTGTGTGTGTGTGTGTGTGTGTGTGTGTGAGAGAGAGAGAGTGTGTGTGTATGTGTGTGTGTGTGTGTGTGTGTGTTTCATACACCTGTAATATGTGAGCGCTTGAATGCTTTGGCAATAATGTAATTATGTGCTGATGCTCACAAGAGCACAGCATGACAGAAAACTATAAAACACAAACAGATCTGAGAGGAAGATCAGCAGTTATTGTGCGCGCATGTTTCACTTCATAGATCAATCAATTACTCAAAAATATATCTTCACACCAGACATGAAGAAACTGCCTAGAAAACAGACTAAAAATACTCAGAAACACTCATTCACAACTGCTTAAAAAGTAGCAACTGCCTAAAGCATTAAGAACACCTTAACAACTGTATAGCAACAGAGAATTCTGCACATGCAAAAAGCACTTTGGTAAAACTTTAGTTCTGATGAGCTTTATGTGATTAATAACACAGTCCCTGGTAAATCCTCATTTTTCATAGACTGATAAATGTGTGAGTGTGTTTTAGTGGCTATTTATTCATAAATGTGGCATGTGTTCAACATAAAAACACACAGCAGGACGAGGTGAGGAATGTGCTCGAGTCAGGTGACTAAGTTGTGTGTGTGTGTGTGTGTGTGTGTGTGTGTGTGTATGTGTATGGGGGGAACAGAAACTCATTACTGCTCCAGACACACAGGGCAATGAGAAATAAAGTAGAAAAGGAAATGCCTAAAACAGTCTAAAATACCCTAGCAACGCCATAGCAACAGCCTAAACATTTTAGAACACCCTAACAACTCCATAGCAACAGACAAAAACACACAGAACACCCAAGCATCTGCATAACAACAACCTAAAACACTCAGAACACCCTAGCAACTGCATAGCAACAGCCTAAAACACTCAGAACACTCTAGTAACTGCATAACAATAACCTAAAACACTCAGAACACCCTAGAAACTGCATAGCAACAGCCTAAAACACTCAGAACACTCTAGTAACTGCATAACAATAACCTAAAACACTCAGAACACCCTAGAAACTGCATAGCAACAGCCTAAAACAGCCTAAAACATTCAGAACACCCTAGCAACTGCATAGCAACAGCCTAAAACACTCACAACACCCTAGCAACTGCATAGCAACAGCCTAAAACACTCAAAACGCCCAAGCAACTGCTTAGCAACAGCCTAAAACACTCAAAACGTCCAAGCACCTGCTTAGCAACACCCTAAAACACTCAGAACATCATAGCAACTCCATGGCAACTGCCTAAAATATTCAAAACAGCCTAGTAACTCCACAGCAACTGCATAAGAAAGCCAATGAGCAATAATTAAAGTATAAAATTAAATGAATGATTAAAGGAAATTAGAATGAAATTGAATATTAAATTAAACTGGTTTAATCTTCAATTGTAATCCTATAATATACAAGTAAGCTGTGTTCATGCATGTCTAAATTACATGTACATATACACATTAGCTCACCGTTCCGACACACAGATACATCCAGCACGCCGTCGTCTAGGCAATTCTTTGGCGTCAGGCAGAATCCCTCGTTCTCTGGGTTGTTCTTGCCGCTGGCCAGCACGGCTCGGGGCGGCGTGAAGCGGTACGCTGGGATGCCCTTCACCTCCACCTCCTTCTCGAAGCGCATGTGGATGGACCTGCAGAAGAGCCATCAGACAACACGATCACATAACAACCCATGCTGCACAGCAGATTCAGATTAACCTGGCAGATGTGACCCTGAACACGACCGTTGATGCACGAGCCTGTGTTCACGAAAGCATTCGGAAACCTGCTTTTAAGTCACAGGAAAAGAGCTCCGTAACAAACAGCGGTCTTGTGATCAAGCGTGTTTGTTTTGAGCTGATTCTGATCAAGGGAAAGGAGTTTTCCAGACAGACCCCAGCCTGATTAAACCGTGTACAAAGGTTACACACGCCGCTCCTGCGACCGCCTTTCCCTTAAAAATCCGGGTGAGGAGTCAGTGGAAAAGGACAAGGACAGCTGTCCCCGCCAGCACAATAAGCCAAGGGCCCGCCGCTCACTCTCAACTAGGTTAAAAGTGGCTTGAAAACATTCCAGGTCGGAGTCAGTTCTCCAGAAACCATGTGTGACGGCAGAACACGCCGGATTCTTTCCACACCGAACAAAGACGGGCGGTTTAGGCCAGAGTTCCCACTGAAAATAGAGATCAGGGTGAGACGGACAGGTCAACTGGATTTCAGGTGAAAGGTCAAAGGGCACCCAGAACATATATTATATTGGTGTATTAAAATAACGGTGTGCGTCACTCACTATGCATCATCAGCTGACACACACAGAGAGGAAACTGAAGCGGAATACCCAAAATACATTCCAAATGTTAAATCATGGAATACATTATTGACAATGCATTGTATACATCTATTTTTAGAAAAGATTCCAAAAAACCAAACATACAGAAAATAAAACTGAACCACATTTAAATGTTAAATAAATAAACAAACAAACAAACAAGTAACAGATAATAGATTATATAACATTAAATATAATATACATTTGATTAAATTATTAAAAAGTTTCTAAAAGGCAAATAAAAGGTCATAAACTTGAAAAAAATCTTATCTGCAATGCATTACTGTATCACAGTTAAAGTCTTAACTGCATTACTTTAAATGAACTAAAAATACATTTTGAAATTTGATTTAAAAAAAATAAATTGATACTACATTGAATATTTGTGAAATGTATAAGTTAAATGAAAAGTAATAAAAAAGATAAACTCCTTGATTTCTATGTGTAAAGTGTCCAGCCGTGAGCTCCATAGCAATTTATCCTCTTGCTCAAAACTGCATGCATATTGTAAAACCCCATCCCGCAGTATATTCCTGTAATGATATTACAGAGAACTGGAGTAAAGTTCTGTTCCCACACTGAGTGTGAGTCTGCGGCTAACGCTAATGTCACGCAGGAAATCGGGAGGTTCGGACCTTTGGCTCAATTTGACATCAGTGGAGGAGTGTCACGGTCGCTGCTACTGTGGAGGAGACGAGGAGACGAAGGAGATGAACGATCAACAGTCTTTATGTAACCCCCCACACACACACACACACTCACCCACCCACCTACTCACATTTTAACAATTTATTTAAGTCCACTTAAAATAAATAACTTACAAGAACGGCAATGGCATGCAACAGGTCTTCACAATATTTAGCATATCACTCAGTTGTTATGGGTATAAATAACAGCGTCTCCGCCATATATGACGGCTGCCTATGATAGAGGACAAAGCACAGTACTTTTCTAGCCGTTTAGCCCTCTTTTTGGGCATCCCAAGTTGTTGAAGCCCTCTTACAACCAGCCTGTGTGTGTGTCCTAAACTACCGAATATAAAAACAAGTAATCGGTCTCTATAACCCATCTCTGAAAGGGTATTTAGGAGTGGTTGATATTTAACGACTTTAGTCATGAAAGCTTCCTCCATACTAGAGTAAAAGGTGCACGCAACCTCTAAAACAAACACCTCTCTACACTCCTCGTTCGGCGTGAAGCGGTACGCTGGGATGCCCTTCACCTCCACCTCCTTCTCGAAGCGCATGTGGATGGACCTGCAGAAGAGCCATCAGACAACACGATCACATAACAACCCATGCTGCACAGCAGATTCAGATTAACCTGGCAGATGTGACCCTGAACACGACCGTTGATGCACGAGCCTGTGTTCACAAAAGCATTCGGAAACCTGCTTTTAAGTCACAGGAAAAGAGCTCCGTAACAAACAGCGGTCTTGTGATCAAGCGTGTTTGTTTTGAGCTGATTCTGATCAAGGGAAAGGAGTTTTCCAGACAGACCCCAGCCTGATTAAACCGTGTACAAAGGTTACACACGCCGCTCCTGCGACCGCCTTTCCCTTAAAAATCCGGGTGAGGAGTCAGTGGAAAAGGACAAGGACAGCTGTCCCCGCCAGCACAATAAGCCAAGGGCCCGCCGCTCACTCTCAACTAGGTTAAAAGTGGCTTGAAAACATTCCAGGTCGGAGTCAGTTCTCCAGAAACCATGTGTGACGGCAGAACACGCCGGATTCTTTCCACACCGAACAAAGACGGGCGGTTTAGGCCAGAGTTCCCACTGAAAATAGAGATCAGGGTGAGACGGACAGGTCAACTGGATTTCAGGTGAAAGGTCAAAGGGCACCCAGAACATATATTATATTGGTGTATTAAAATAACGGTGTGCGTCACTCACTATGCATCATCAGCTGACACACACAGAGAGGAAACTGAAGCGGAATACCCAAAATACATTCCAAATGTTAAATCATGGAATACATTATTGACAATGCATTGTATACATCTATTTTTAGAAAAGATTCCAAAAAACCAAACATACAGAAAATAAAACTGAACCACATTTAAATGTTAAATAAATAAACAAACAAACAAACAAGTAACAGATAATAGATTATATAACATTAAATATAATATACATTTGATTAAATTATTAAAAAGTTTCTAAAAGGCAAATAAAAGGTCATAAACTTGAAAAAAATCTTATCTGCAATGCATTACTGTATCACAGTTAAAGTCTTAACTGCATTACTTTAAATGAACTAAAAATACATTTTGAAATTTGATTTAAAAAAAATAAATTGATACTACATTGAATATTTGTGAAATGTATAAGTTAAATGAAAAGTAATAAAAAAGATAAACTCCTTGATTTCTATGTGTAAAGTGTCCAGCCGTGAGCTCCATAGCAATTTATCCTCTTGCTCAAAACTGCATGCATATTGTAAAACCCCATCCCGCAGTATATTCCTGTAATGATATTACAGAGAACTGGAGTAAAGTTCTGTTCCCACACTGAGTGTGAGTCTGCGGCTAACGCTAATGTCACGCAGGAAATCGGGAGGTTCGGACCTTTGGCTCAATTTGACATCAGTGGAGGAGTGTCACGGTCGCTGCTACTGTGGAGGAGACGAGGAGACGAAGGAGATGAACGATCAACAGTCTTTATGTAACCCCCCACACACACACACACACTCACCCACCCACCTACTCACATTTTAACAATTTATTTAAGTCCACTTAAAATAAATAACTTACAAGAACGGCAATGGCATGCAACAGGTCTTCACAATATTTAGCATATCACTCAGTTGTTATGGGTATAAATAACAGCGTCTCCGCCATATATGACGGCTGCCTATGATAGAGGACAAAGCACAGTACTTTTCTAGCCGTTTAGCCCTCTTTTTGGGCATCCCAAGTTGTTGAAGCCCTCTTACAACCAGCCTGTGTGTGTGTCCTAAACTACCGAATATAAAAACAAGTTCTATAACCCTATAACCCATCTCTGAAAGGGTATTTAGGAGTGGTTGATATTTAACGACTTTAGTCATGAAAGCTTCCTGAGTAAAAGGGTAAAAGGTGCACGCAACCTCTAAAACAAACACCTCTCTACACTCCTCGTTAATCACAACTACGTCTGGTGTGTTAGCAGACAGGCATGAAAAGATTTCAGAGTTACTGTTAAGATACTGAAACATAGATGGTTTTACACAGGAATGTTTGTATATTCTTACTAAAAGTGGTAAATGGTTTGATATGTCTTTCACTATCAGGTCCACTATTCTGTCGTGGCGTGCTATGTGCATTCCCTTGTAAGCACGGCAGCCGTTCAGGATATGTGGCAGTGTTTCAGTAATCTGTTCTGTAGTGTGATGCAGACAGTGAGGAACCTGAGCT